GCTTTGGATGTAAAAGGATCTATCAGTGAGGACCTGGCCAGAAGGTAGTCTTACCTGTGTTAGTTATCTATCTCCATGTCACAAATGGTCCCCAACATTTAAACAACATTTATTATCCCACAGTTTATCAAACCACAAGTGACGGATCAGGGAGGGCTTAGAGGGGTGGCTCTGGCTCCAGGTTCTCACAGGCTGCAATTATGATGTCAGCTGTGGCTGAGTCTCAAGCTCAACTAGGAAAGGAGCCCCTTCCAAGCTCACTCCTGTGGTTGCTGGTGGATTCAGTTCCTAGGGGGTTGCTGGACTGAGGGCTTCAGCTCCTCCCTGGCTGTTGGCCGTCAGCCACCCTCTGTTCCTCGCCATGTGGGCCTCTCCATAAGGCAGCTGATAACATGGCAGCTGGCGTCATCGGTTGAGCAAGCAAGAAAGGCCAGCGAAAGCGTCATAGCCTTTTATAACCTGATCTCAGAGGTGATATCCCATGTTTGCTTATCCTCTTGTTAAAAGCACGTCCCTAAGTCTAGTTCACATGAAGGGGATGGCACAAGGACCGAATTCCAGGAGGTGAGGATCACTGAAAGCTATTTAGAAGTTGTCTACCTGGGAACTTTCCCCAAGACCCTAGCCCAGGGGTGGGCAAACTTTTTGACTCAAGGGCCACAATGGGTTCTGAAACTGGACCGGAGGGCCGGAACAAAAGCATGGATGGAGTGTTTGTGTGAACTAATATAAATTCAAAGTAAACATCATTACATAAAAGGGTACGGTCTTTTTTTTTTTTTGGTTTATTCATTTCAAACGGGCCGGATCTGGCCCGCAGGCCGTAGTTTGCCCACGGCTGCCCTAGCCTATAAGACACTGAGGGCTCTGTGTGTGCCACCAAATGTCATGTCTCTGCAAACACCAAATCACCAAATACGTGAGTCAAATACCCCAACACCTATGCACTGGGCACTGTGGTAGATGCTGGGGATACAATAACAGACGAGGCACACTTCCTAACCATAAGGAGCTCATAGCTGAATGAAGGAGACCAACAATTAAAGGAGATTTAACCACTCCTCCTCCTATGGCACCTATCATTTTATTTTGCAAATATTCATTTAAATCTCCGGTTCCCTGTGAGACTATCATGTCCCTGAGAGAAGGTAGATGTCTGTTTCATCTTCTGGCTCCTTGTGCCTTGCACATGGCCTGGCTCACAGGAGGCCTTCAAAAATATAACATTTTGAACTTAAAAAACAAACATGGTAAATAATCCATTAGCCATTCACGTTAGTGCAAATGTATGACCCCAATCTTCTGAGAAATAATTATTAACAGGGGAAGTACTTAGGAGTTAGATAAAAGTGATACTAAGGGGACTGTACAAAGAGGAATCTAGTGTTAAAAAAAGATAAACATTGACTCTAGTTTTATCAAGGCCAGATTTAACCACCCCATTCCTACCTCCTTCCCCACAGACCCCTACCTCCAAGCAATGAGGAAATTCTACTGTATTATGGGTCCAGGTCTTTTCTTCTCTGGGTTTTACATGTTCTTTAACACAGGCAGTAATTATATTTCTCTCACACATAATTGCATGAATGTGAACTCTCTATAATTACTGTGTTTAAGTAGAAAATGAGACGATCCAACTAATGAGGACAGGTGATAAAAACAACTGCGAACATTTCTTTCAAATTTATCATAAAATCCACTCAGAGTAAGCTCTAGTGAACTACAGAAGTTTTTTATAAATGTCACTGGCACGCATTTCCATGAATATATTAGCAGAGCAATTCACATCTGTGCAAGACTTAGAGCAAGGACAACATCCTCTTTCCTACAAACTTAAGCTTAATTGATAGCTTTGGTCCATTTAATTTGGAAAGGGAAATTATGAGTAACAAAGTTAATGCTTGATACGGATTTCAAAAATTGAATGTGCAGCTCCCTCTTCAAAAGGGATCTTACCTGGAAGCCAAAATAAAAACAGAAAAAAGTAGAGTTGTTCTAGGAGCAAAGATGTATGAACTTTGTCCTCCTCACCCCTAGGCAGGTAGGGAGGGGAAGATACAGCCATTTCAAACCACAGTGTCTTCCAAGAAGGTGGGGTCCATAAAAGGAAACATTTAGCCCCACAGATTTTCAGTGTATAAAGGAGTAGAGAGGCCTTGAGACTAAGCCCAGGCGGGAGTAGAGTCCCACCAGAGTAAGAATAATAGAGGGCAAACTGGGATGGAAAGGTAGAAAAGAAAGCGGACACCAGCAGGATGGTTCTAAGTAGCCAGCACAGTCAGCAAAAGAAGTCTTGCTAAGTTGTCTCATTACTATCATATAATACAGTCACCTAAGCATCTCCCACAGTTTGTCCCTTTCACAAAGGCCTGGTAAGGCAAGATGTTTTCAAGCATCACAGAAAGGGCTTGCATGTTTACAGTCTGAGGTGTGTGACGTGGAATGGATGGAACAATGCACCCTTGGGACTAAGAGATGAGCAATACACTGAATTAATTCGACTGTTAAGATGATTGAAGGAGTTAGTGTCAAGTGCTCAGAACAGTGTCCTGCACACAGTGCAACTGATACATACTTGTTAAAACAAACAAATAAACAAATTCTGCAATAGAGCCCCGACCGACCGCTGGCCCAGCCCACCTGGCCAAACAGAGGAACTGCTTGTCACTGGAGTAAGCAGCAGAGGGGAGCAACAGTGACCTCCGCACGTCGTGAGGTCAAATTCATGTTATGCTGACTAGAGGCCCAAGAGTTTACTCTCATTAATGATAACTACTAAGTGTGTTTCCATCTGTGTATCAGAGAACCTAGCACAAATGCCTGGAACATAGTAGACATCCAGAGAAAATTTGCTCAATGAATAAATGGATAGGTGCCTTTTGAAAACATGTATTCATTTAAAATTTTTTTTTGAGTTTTCAAAAGATATAGCATTATTTTAACCACTGCATCACTATATTATTTAACCTTCATATTTGTTCCTAGCTCTGAAGGAATTCTTAGTCTTATGAGTACCAGTGGGCCAGCCTTGCCCTAAACTTATCCTGATCCTGCCCAAACCACTGACAATCAGGAAGTGGATATTTCAGTGCAAACTTATCTCCACTAGTAGGCAAAGAACTCAGATATGTTTTGCATACAGTAGGTCAGAAGCAATATTTCTGGGTCCAAAGGGCAGTAGGCAGACCCTATGGCTCTACCTTGAAAATGTATCTACAATCTGACCACTTTTACTACTCTCACTGATACCAGGCCACCCTAAGCTTACACCAGGATCCTTTCAATGGTCTCCAAGCTGGGCTCCCACTTCCACTTTTGTCCCATAGTGTCTTCTCTCATCACAGCAGCCAGAATGGCTTGTTAAAATGTAGATCATAACCTGACCCTCCGCTGCTCAAAGCATTTGTATCAACTGGCATCCAATCGGGAAACCAATATTTCAAAGAGAGGGAGTATTTATTATAGGGAGTTGATTACAAACATTAGTAATAGCGGGAAGCCACTACCCCCCTTAGGCTGGAGGAACAAGAGAGAAAATGGTGGCATGAACCTGCAGTCAGAGCCTCTGAAATGACCGCTGTTGGAACCGAGCTGCCTGAGCCAGCGTTCCCAGCTGCTGCTGCCACTCATGCAGCTGCCACGTGGGCAAGGCTGCCAGCATCCTCATTGGGGAGGGTAGGGGGGTAAAGACTCTTCTGATTCTGCCAGTACCTTTCAGTGGCAGAAACGAACAGGAAGTCAGCATGCAAGGGAGTCTGGGAAATGCAGTTTGCAAGTCTCTGGCCCTAGCAGTAGAGGAGGGTACAGAAGGAGGGGTGTGGGGTTGACAGAAGACCCCATCCAGAGCAGCACCTCACTCACAGTAAAACCCAAGTTTACAATGACCTCCCAGGAAAGCACCCCCTCACCCCAAACACATATGCACCTTCTCTCTGCCCCCATTCCCTGCCACCTATCATCTTACTGCGCTCCAGCCACGCCGGCTTCTCTGCTGCTCATCACACCTGCCGGGCCCTCCTTCCTCAGGGTCTAGCATTTGCTGTCTCCTCTGCCTGGGATAATCATACCCCAGATACTTTCACAAGTCACTCCCTCATCTCCTGTGGGCCTTTATTTTAAGGATACCTTCTCAATGATGCCTCCTTGAAAACTAATTTAAAATTGCAACCCCTCCTAATTCCCAGCCCCCTTTATTATTTTAGTTTTCATCACAGAATTTATCCTTTTCTAACATATTATCATATACAGATATATTTTTATTCTGTATTATGTATTTTTAGTTGTCCCTCTCTCACTAGATAGGTAAATAGATAGATGATAGATAGATAGATAGATAGATAGATAGATAGATAGATAGTCAATATTCCCCCCCACCACCCACCACCACCAAAAGGTAAGCTCCCTGGCTTTTTTCTACTGATATAGTCCCAGTGCTCAATAAATACTTACTGAGTAAATAAATGTAATCGTTCATAAATGCATTTTTTATGGGATGAAAAATATTAAAAGCCTGTGGGAAGGAAAAGAAATATTGTGACACCTCTTCCCCTTCTGACCCCACTCGGGCTCCATTCAGTGTCCCTTCTGCATGCTTCTACCGTTCCCTGAAATTCCCCTGACGCAGAACTTGTCACACCACATTGTAATAACATGTTTACGTATCTGTCTCTGCCACTGAAACTGTAAGGCCCATGAGATGCCAAAGGGGTGGTGCCCGCCTGGGAAGCTCCGCACACCCAGCACCTGGCCGTACTGTCCTGCACGTCCCCTATGCAGGGCTCAAACAGCAGCTGTGGTTGAATGTTCCCACCACAAAGCAAAAGGCTACACTTAAAGGTCTCTCAACACCACCCCTGCCTCTGAAACTCTGGAAAGATGTAAGAATCAATAGCTGTGAGAAAACAGAGTCAGGAAATAGTTAAGTGCAGAAGCAAAGAAAGTCGGCAGCAGCTCTACTGCTCTGGCTGAGTGAGGAGAAGCAGAATGACCACGGCTTTGGAGAATATTTTAATCTTTTTATTAGAAGTGTTATTATAGTGCCTGACAAGTACTGTTCCACTGGTGGGTTTTAATAGCTGGATATCACAGGCTAACAAACAAATCCTGAAAAAAATTGTTATGAAAATCCAAATAATTATCATAGAAAAGCAACGCATCTCAATAGATAACATTTTACAGTGTTATTTCAAGGGGACTGGGCTACAAAGTCCATTAACAAAAGCATTTTTCTAATTTTATACCAACTTTAAGAGGAAAGATTGACCCTTTGTACGTGTATTCACAGACAGCAGAAAGATCATTGCTAAAAATCGGCCTTGGTTGGCTTTTCTTTTCCAGGTTTCCAGTAGATGCCTAGAGAACATCCAGAGTCTTCTACGAGGAGATCGTGGCTGTATCTTACACTTAAAATAGATTTATTTGGGAATAATTCAGAGGCTGGAAGAAGTGATATCACACACAAGTACTAAAGCACCAAATTTATCACGGAAAGCTTTGACTTGGCTTCTATCCTCAGTAGTTTGGAGGCACACAGACATGTCTGGTCTCATCTTGTCCTAAGGAGCACTGCTGTCACCTGCATGGGAGTCACCCCCGCCCATCACACAGGAGGGACTGGGGCTTTGAAAGAAATGCCTCCTCGGCCAGCCTATCTTCAGCACGAAGCACGTACCTGCTGTTTTGTTTTCAGTGGCCTGCTAAGTGCCCTGGGACATTGGGCATCCCTCCCTTCTGCTGCTTAATTAAAATTTCAATTTGACCAATGACGCTTTGAAATGCATTCTAAGCAACAGGAATTCAGTCCCTCAGACACCTGCCTTTTTCATTCCCTTCTCGCTGCAAAAGTTTGCAAAATCACTCCCAGCCAGAAAATGACTTCACCCTGCTGCCTGGAAGGGACCTTTATTGGTTCGCTAGCGCAAGGAGGAAACTGAGCTAAGTCAAGGGAGATGCACGTACACATTCCTGGAAGGATAATTTTAGAACCAGTTTCAAAGCCGACTCTAATTCGAAAATGCCTCTGCCACTTAGACCCACATGGAGATGTTATCAGCCTCGTGAAATGTCATCAAGTAGCTGAGGGTGGTTGTGTTTTGCCAGCGGTGGAAGCCAGCGCAGCCACTGTGGCTTCCTCGCTGGGAGAGGGAGGGTGGGGGCAGTTTATTAGAAATAACGTTAGAGAGGATGCGATAAAGGCAGACATTCAAAGCCGCGGGCTATTGATTGCAAATCTGGCAGGGCTGCAGGCCATTCTCGTTGCAGGCAGGGCATCGCAGGGCCCGATAGGACTCCTTAAACCTGTTGGCCAGCATGGAGAACTTGCTGCCGTGGCACAGAGAGCAGGTGGCACTGCCCGAGCCTCGGCAGTGAAAACAGTTGTCATCTGGAAGCTCCCCTTCCTGCAAGAGACGGTCAGCGTTTAGTAACGACAGCAGTTCGAGTTGATTGATCACATGCAGGTGAAAATACCCTTGGGCTGCGCAGAAGCTGGGGCAGAATAAGAGGAAAATGCTTCCCACAAATGCACTGAGGGAACTGGTCAGAGGCACGGAATAATCACAGCAAGTTTATCGAAGAGGGTTTCCCTGGTGGACATCTCTCAGGCAGCATCCCCCGCCACCAAGCCTCCTGTCCCAAGACTTCACGCTTTTCATCGCCCTTGTCACCATCATCTGACATGTAATTTCTGTATGTTCCATGAGAGCAAAGATTTGGGTTTCCTCATTGCCAAATACTAAGAGTGCACATTTGTAGCATGACTCATAGGTGCCAGGCGCTGTTCTAAGAGCGTCTGTTCATATATCAATCCACCTAATCCCACAACAATCCCCTGTAAGGGTTACCATCCCCATACTACAGATGGGAAAATGAGACACAAATTCAGTTATTCACCAACTGTCATGCAGCTTGAAGAAGAGTCAGGTTTTGATCCAAGGCAGCTGAGCACCAGAGTTTATGCTCCTATTGACTACGTACACAGCCCCTCCTTGTAGTTGTCTGAAGTAGATGCTCAAGACAGATTGTTTTGTGGAGACTATGCGGACGAATGAATTGATGGTACAATCCTTGGAAGCTCAGCTCTGAATTCTTGCAATACTTTATCCTCATTCTCTTTGAGAACTGTGATAAGGCCCCAGGATTCAGAGCTCCGCTCTGGACTCAGGAGCCTGGCTCTGACATCAAGAATGCACTTTGGACAGTTCCCTTAATCTCTAAATCTCCATTTCTTTCCCTCTGAAATGGGAGTGATAATGCTTACCTCGCTGAGTATAGCAGCTAGAATATTACGTGAGAGAGTACATGAAAATACCATCTTATGTTATCTGGCATATTATGGGTTTTCCATGAGAGTTTGTTCACTTCTAAGCCTTGCTAATAGGTCTCCAGTACTCGATTCCCCCCCGCCCCCTGCAGAAAAATGCCCTTTGTCTAACTGTTGTGTTCTTCCCCTAAAACATCTCAAGAAAACTGGCAATCTTCGGATTCTGTGCAAAGACCATACATAGACCTATAACCTTCCAAGAAATAAGGGGCAATACCAAATCTATACCAGGCGGATCAGGCACAAAATCCTGTTCATTTCACCTTCAAACCCATCCAATTTTTTTTTCCACCCCACAGTCACAACCCTAGTCCGACATCTACCAGCTCCAGCAGGAATTCAGTGTGGACGCCTGCCTCCAGTCTGGTGGCTGTTCTCCCCACTGATGCCAATTTTCCTAAGTTGCCTGCAATTGTGACTACCACAGAGCACTCAAGAAACCTTTTAATGAACACTTGCCTTCCAGATAAACTGATTAAAACCAAACTCCTCAGAGGCTTTAAATGCTTAGTTAGGTTTTTCATCAGGCTCTTGTCCTTAGATCTCTCTCCAGCTGGTCTCCAGGAACCTGTGCCCCCTCCCAACCCAGATAGTTCCCATGTTCTCAAGTGTCAGTAAGCCTTGCCTACCCAACCTCTGGACCAGGAGTCCCACCGCCTGTCCTGCCCCAAGCACGGCAGGTTTCTCACTCTGCTGAAAGCTCCTGGGAACTAGACAGGAAGCTCTCTGCGTGGTCCCTTTCACCGTCACTTCCTTGACATCTAGTGTGGAGCCAGGAAAATATCTGCTGTTCAGATATTTGCCAAATGAACAAACAAAACAATGTTGTCTAGAGAATCCTTCCCATTCTTAATCCTAGGAACTACCAACACAGCTGGAGTCCAGTGGGAGGCTCCACCCAGCTAACAGCTTTCTTTTATAACCTAATAAAAATAATCTCTGAAAAGGGAGGCATTAGTTCTGCAAGTAGCTTTGTTGTGCTGCACAGTGCCCAAGGAGGTATTACACTTTATTCATTCTAGATTTAGGGAATAGAAGTGATTTCCAACTGACGAAAATCTAAATCATGTCTATGCACCCTTTTGTTAATATTTTATTGATTCTTGCCATACTTTCATATATTAACAATGCAGAAATGTGTTTTCTTCCCTTAAAGTATTCAAAATAAATTTATTTGCCAAAATGTTCTTAAAGCAAGTTGCCACAGTCCATTTTTCTGCCAAATCCACACATTTTAATGTTTTAGACTTGATCCCAGTGAGATTTTAATGGTATAAGTCAATGTCGTCAAAGAAAGTACAGTAAAATCCTAACATAATAGAATGCCAGGTCAGATAGTGAAAGATTAACAAAATGGCCTGGTGAGCTTGCTGTAGAGAACAAAGCCAAATCATCAATCAAATTTTACCTGATGCATATTGGAGTTTCTTTTTTAAAAAAAATATATTTCAGAGAGAAAGGGAGAGGTAGAGAGAGAGAGAGAAATATCGATGAGAGAGTTATTGATTAGCTGCCTCCTGCATGCCCCACACTGGGGATTGAGCTGGCAACCTGGGCATGTGCCCCAACAGGGAATTGAACCATGACCTCCTGGTTCATAGGTCAACACTCAACTACTGAGCCACGCCAGCTGGGTGCTGGAGTTTCTTTCCTTAATTTGAGTTACCACCCTTTCCAACTACTCACCTCAACATGTTCATTTAATTATTTAATGATTCACTAAATCAAGTATTTACTGAGTCTCTACTCTGTCTTTCATTCTCACTATTTTTTAAAATTCTTCTCAAAAAACATTTAGTAAGAGGACTTAGAACATAGTTGTACAACATAGTGCAGGTTATAAAACCAACAAACCTCCCAAACCACCTCCCACCAGCTCCATGACCAAGGAAAGGGGCCTGGGCTTGCACTGCGGGATCAAAGCTTGTTAGCCCTGAAGAGGGTAACCAGCGCCAATCCGGTTAGCTAAGTGGTTATGATCATGATTCAGGAGATTGGCAGTCAGGTGGACCTGGGCTTGACTACTGACTCTGATGACCTCTGGTAAGCTACGTAACTTCTCTGAGCCTACTTTCCCCAGCTCCAAAAGGAGACCACCAGAGATATCTACCTCACAGAGTCTTCGTGAGCATGACATGGACTCTGGCATGGAAAGCATTGGGCATGGTGCCAGGCTATCATGGGCCCGGCCCTTAATAAACTGTAGCTATTATTACTATTATTTCTTTTTTATTATTGTTATTTCAAAGGCAAGATCAGGTGAAGCATAAAGGAGCCTAGATGATCTGTGGTTTCAAATCCGTTGAACCCAGGGCCAGGTTTCCTCGCTTCCATGTTTCACCGTGGCTCGATTCAATGATCCCTCTCCTTTGCTCTTATAGTTACTACAAGGGTGCGGCGTGGCCTGGCAGTTAGCCTTTCCCTGCCCTTTCATCACTGTCCCCACCACTTCCCTTGGTCAGGAGGGGCTCCTTGGTGTTCTTTGACCCTTTTCTAGAATAATCTTGTCCGGGCATTTACTGCATGAGGGATTGGGCAAACAAATGGCCATTTAAAACAGAGTTTAAAGGACAGGCCAAGTGAAGTATAACCTTTCACAGCAATTTTCTGCTGCACACCTCTGTGCTGGTTTATGGCATTCCAGATAAGAAACATGGTTCTGTCCGTATTGAATTGAAAGACAATTGTCATGTCGGGCCTGTTGTTGCTTTTGCATTCAGGGCTGCAGTGGGACCTGTGTGCTAGCTTTTCTGGCTCTCTTCTGAAAATATATGCCCCTACAAGTTGTAATACGGTGTGAAAAGGAATAGAATGAATGGGTGTTACGGTGGGGAGGGAATGCCTTGGATGGCAATGTCTGTCTGTCTGCCTACTGCTACGCCGCGTTCTGCGTAGGGCTATCTAGAGAAGGCAGAGGCAGAACACTTCTTACCAGCTAGCACTTGGTCCCAAATGCCAATCCTCTTTCCACAAACATTTACTATTTATTGAGCACCTATAATATGCCAGGCTCTATTATGGGAGGCAATATACACATGGCCCCTGCCCTCATGGAGACTAAACCTTATGCGTGAGAACAAACATTAACCAAATAAGCATAAGACTGCAACTGTGAGGAGGGGTGTGAGCTGCCCTGAGGGGTCTCTTCTTGGGAATGTTATCCTCATGGAAGCCAGGGAGGCCCCTCTGAGGAAAGGATGCCACCACTCAGATCTCAGGGGCTGAGGAAAAGGTGGCAGGGAATCTGGAGAATATCCTAGGCCAGGGAAGTTGCCCCTTGTAAGAAAAAGCAAAGAACACATGATAGGCAGTGTTTCTGGGGTGAAGAGAATGAGGAGAGATGGGGTAAGAGATGAGGCTGAAGAGGCCAAGAGTGGCCAGGCACACAGTGCTTTCTAGAACAAGTGAGGAGTGTGGGTTTTATCCCAAGTGAAGAGAAGCCGTTGAAAGTTTTGGGTGGGGGAAGGGAGGTGATGAAGGGATGACACAATCAGATTTGTATTTCAAAAATCTCTCAATGAGTGATCAGATTAGAAAGAGACACGAGAGGTTGTGAGCAGAACTTTTAACAGACCGTCTCGTTCCTGCCCCCTAAGCCTCCCAGGGTGGGGACATCACTCAGGGGCAAGGAAGCCAACAAATGGGAGGGGAGAGTGCGCCCCACAGAAAGCTTTAAGTCCCAAGAGAGAGAAGCTAAAGAGGAAAAAACATTCACTTCTGCTGCCACCCAAGCTTTTACTCTCTTAGCTTAATGTCATCAAAATTGCTTTTCCCACCCCACCCCACCTTGAGAACTAATGAATACTATCAGCTATCAGTCTTCCCCCTCATCTGAGCATGTCTGAGCAATGGTTTCCAAAGTGGGGAGCTATTTATATTTTTATCTAGAGGTGACAAGAAGTTAAGCTTTAATAATATTTTCAAAAGAAACTGTTATCCTAGTTTTTAATAAACTAGTTGACACTGGTGCCCTCACTAAGACTGGCAGTCACTACAATAATGTACCCAAGGGACCCTGGAATAAGCATGATGTAAAGGGACCCCACTTTACGTAAAGTGGCAATGGTGGCCCGGCTCATTCATTCACTTTCCACATATGGCAACATTTTGTGGTTTACTTGTGCCTGGCCTAGTGGGTTTACAAATGACACTGTTTATTTTAAACTAAACTCATCTCCACAAAATCTAGGGACCTACAGCTTTATTAAGTTTCTTCAAGGAAACTGTGGATTGAGGACCCCAATAATAGAAGCACAGGGAACCCATAAGAAAAGGGCAGAGCTAATTTTTCCCATGTCTACAGAAAGATGTTCTAAAGCCACACTGCAAAGTGAAAACAATAGATATCTAATCAGATCTCAAAAGAAGCCACCCAAAAAATTACAATTAGGAGTGTTTGAAATATGGACTTATAACCATTATTGCTAACAATGTACCATTAAAATATAATAAAATCCCTGACAGCTTTAATATTTAGACATCTTACGTAGCCATATTTGAAAGTTTTACTGAAGCAGTGCACAACCAAGACCATTTGGAGGCCACTGCAGCAGGGCCCTCCTGGGGGAACAGTGACCCGCTGACTCACCTGGGGGTACTGGTTGTGCGGGAACGTGCTTTCCGTCTCCGCCAAAGGCCCGTCATTCTGGTCGCTGTCTCCATAGATTTCCTCTTTGCTCATCAGAGACTCTTCCTCGATCTCCCCTTCCTTCTGGAGAATTTTCCTCATGAAGTCTCTCTTGTCCATTGGGGTTCGAATGATTTTCAGGTTATTCGTGTAGATGATTATCTTTCCAAAATCTATAATGGGTGGGGACTAGAGAAATGGAGAATGAGCATGGAACCTCCACCAACAGTCACCAAATAAATCCTGGGCTGCAGAACCTGCTCACCATCCCGGGAAATAGGACAGGAGGGACTTCTACTCTCCAGCACTTGTGACCCCATCAGACCACAAAGCTCCAGTTCATTCCCTAGTCTGTTTGCTTTCTCTGAAAACCATGGCAACCATCTCCCTTCTTCCTGTTGATGGTAGCCTACCGAAGCTACACTAGTCATATAACTAGAGTGTAGGGCTCTGCAGGGTAGGGCCCAGAGTGTCTACTTCACATACCACAGCAGATGATGTAGGGCCAGGCATAATGAGGGCTTAAGAAACACGAAGGAATGCCTTTTTAAAAATAAGTGTCACTCAAATTTGTTTCTGTGCATAAATAATAGTATATACAATTTATTGAGCATTTATTGTTATTATTATGATGGCAGGCATTGTGCTAAGCGTTTTACAAACATTACCTCACTTCTCCCGCTGAACATCCCTATGAGGTAGATGCTATGATTTCCACATTCTACAGATGAAGGGACCAAGCCTCAGGGGGATTAAGTGTGTCTCAAGGTCACAAAGTTACTCAGGGTCTCTGGCTGGAATTCAAACCCAACTCTGTCTCACTCTAAATCCATATTCTTAGCACCTACACTAAACTATTCACAATCACTTTCCCAAGATATATATATATATATATATATATATATATATATATATATATATATGATATATATCCTGTTGTAACTTGTTTTTGTTCTTTGTCTATGAAAATCTTTTTTATGTCAATAAATATACTTTAACAGCATCATTATCAATAGCTCCTGTTCCCTTGCTGGATTTCTCATGTGTGCCTTAACCATTTACTGAGGAATCATCTGGACAGTAGAGAAGCAGGGGAGTAAATGTTTAGGGATTACTCAGCTAAGAACACGCATTTCTTCCCAGAGCTAGGACAGCTCGCAGGGAAACGTTGGATCCCAATCCCACTGTTCGCCAACTGTGAGATAGAGGAGAGTCATTTGGCCTCCCAGAGCCTCGGTGTGCCCATCTGTAAATGGGCTGCCATCTCGCTAGCATGCACTAACCACCAGAGACAAACTCATTATTAAAACACAGAAATGCTTCTACACTGGCTGGTAAACGGCTGTCCTGAGACTCCTGAGCGTTCTCCTGCTACTCCAGCTTCTCTCCAGGGAGCCTCTCACATCCCCCAACCAGTCATGTAAAAGTTGACTTAGGACCTCAGGTGTTAGGACCCTGCCCCAACCCTTCGCTGGCTTCTGGGGTGATTAAGCAATTAAATATTTGTACTCTCTTCCCTGAAGCTAATCATGTCATCTTCCAGGGATGGCCGTCCTATGAAGAGGATATCAAACAGGGATTGCAAAAGCTGAAGGTACCATGCACAGAGTAGGCACTGTTATTATTCAGAACAGTTCTTTTGGTCATTAGCGCATGCACAATCATGCTACACAACCACATGCTTCAGCGGGAAATGTTCTGCCTTGCTTTTGCAGAACTGTATCAGCCAATCTATTTAGATGCTCCACCGAAGCAGTCTCAATCTGACTTGAGCCAGAGTTCAATATTCAGGTCCCCTTCCTTGAGACATCCACGGGGTTTTCAATAATTATTTATGAAGCCACAAGCTTCCTACCTGGCCCTGGTTTCCCTCCCTCTCTTCTAGGGATCGTGTGGCAGCTTCCATTTCCTACTGCTTGATGCGCGCGGGGTTCCTGTTTCGCACTCTGGACTATCAGTTTCTGAACATCAGCAGATAAAGATGATGGCACTTTTGGAAGGTTCCATTTCCACTTCCAGTAATAGCCGAAGAGGCTCAGTTACGAGGGAGCTTTCTTCACATCTACGGCTGGTTTCTTTTTTCCAGGCAAAACTCTCAACATACTGAAAAAACTCTGCAGCCCTCTGGTTCGACCTCCTGCCTCTAAGCTGGTCAGTATCTGAGACACCCAGGCGAGTCCATTTGTTTTTAATGTATTCCAAAGGTGGACGGTCCCAAGTCACCCTGCAGGTGTGTTTAAGTTTCAGTCACCCTGACAGCCAAGCTCTTCCTGGTGTCTAAGGAAACTCTCCGGGTGTAACTAAACTTCACATGATCTGGTTGCATCCGATTGCCTGTGAGGAACACCCTCTCGTACATTATAGAGGGCCGGGATGGAGCCAGGAATTTTATGTTTCCTTCCACGGTGCCCAGAATGGTAACCTATGTGATTGAGCCGCATAAATATCCCGATGTCAATGGCAGCGACTTAGGCTGCTATTCGGTCACCATGACACCCCTCGGCTGCTCCAGGTTTAAACACATCACCGGGGACAAGGAAAGGCAATGGGCTTTGCGGGCAGGCAGACCTGAGTTCAAATTGCATTCAAATGTTATCTGACAGTTGTGTGAGAGGTGCAACTTACTGAGCCCCTATGAACTTCTTTTTTTCCAATTTGTAAAATTCTTTCTCATAGAATGATTGTAAAGCTGAATTTATGCATTCTGTATAAAGTGGGTGTTCAGTGGATGTTACTTCTCTTCCTTCCCCTTCCATTTTTTATGAACCTTGTAAGCTTCCGTCAGTTTCAATTCCTTAAAATATTTGATTGTTTATAACCATTTTCTCTATCTACCACATAAAATTTTTAAAAGCCTCAGTGTTTCTTTCATAAGAACCTGGTCATTATCGCACTGGTAGGTAACATTTACAGAGCATATACAATGTGCCAGGCACAATGCCAAGGGCTTCTTATCTGTTATCTCTCTTTAATCACAACAATCTTTGTAAGCAGGTACTTTTATTACCCTCATATCACAGATTATGACGTTGAAGCTCAGCAAGTTTAAATGGCTTTGCCCGAGCTCACATGGGTAAGTGGGTAGAATGGACATCAAGCCCTGGTTTAACTGACATCAGAGCCCTTGTTTTGTTTAAAACACACATACACACACACACACACACACACACACACACACACACAACAACACACATTATTTTTGATGTGGTAAATATACATAACATAAAATTTACCATTTCTAAGTGGATAGTTCAGTGGCATTAAGTACTTGAACACTATGGTGTAATTATCACCGTCATCCATCTCCAGAACTTTTCCTTAGTCCCAAACTGAAACTCTGTACCCATTAAACAATAACTCCCCTTCTCCCCTCCCCCACCCCCAGCCCCTGGCAACCACCACTCTCCTTTCTATCTCTATAAATCTGACTACTCGTATAAGTGGAATCATATGATTGTCCTTTTGTCACTTATTTCACTTAGCATAATGTCTTCTGATTCCATTTATGTTGTAGCAAGTGTCAGAACTTCCTTCCTTTTTTAAGATTGAATAATATTCTATTGTGTGTATCTACAACATTTTGACTGTCTACTCACCTATTGATGGACATTTGGGTTGTTTTCACCTTTGGGCAATTGTGAAAAAATCTGCTATAAACCTGGGTATACAGATATCTATTCAAGTTCAGAACCTCTACTTTTAATTACTGTGCTTAACTACTACCCAATGTTGCCTCACAGCCAATATTTACTAGGGGTTATTTTACAATTGGGTTCACTATTGAAAAATCATGACTTCCCAGCTCTCATTTCCTTATTTTTCATAAACACCACATTGACAACCTGTTTCAGTGGGTGCAGGTGCATGAATCCATCCTGACCACTCCTATACGAAAAGGCTGTCTAGATTGGGATGTGGCATTTGATCGGGCAACAAAGAAAACAAGGATAACTGGACCATGCAGGAATCTAACTCTGAACATGGCTTCTAGAGTCTGGTGTTTAAATCTACTGTGCCATGCCTGGTTTTATAAATCCATGCCTAATCATACATGTACATGAATGCCAAGTTTGGCATACTGACTTATGAAGGTCAAGCAGTCCAGTACTAGCTACTGTGGCCTTGTATAAGGTATTGAATAAACTACAGCTTTGCAAATTCTAAACATATGAATAAGATTTGGGTAAAATGAGGTACTTTAAGTACAAGACAGCTATGTACCTAGGATATAATAAGCATTCAGTAAATGGTACCTATTATTATTATCATCAACATTATTGGTAGTGACCTACCAATAATATTCCAAAAAGGAATATTCCATAGGGCAAAGAGTATGGGGAATCAGAAGACCTGGGTTCTTACTCTGACTCTGCACCTATGACCATATTGGGTGAATCCCTTAACAACTTGGCACTCAGTGTTCCTCATCTGCAAAATGGGAGTGATCATACTCGGCCTTTCTCCTCAAGATTGTCGTGAAGACCTAATGCGATAGTATGTGATAGTGCAATGCAATGCATAAGCCACTCCAGGAACATGAGGGGCTGTTCATTCCAGTCCCCTTTCAAACCAAAAAGAAACCAGTACTATCTTTGATAAATGTGGACATGCCCCTAATTATACTCTTATCAGTGCTAGCAAGGCCCATACATTTGTCTGCTCTAGATGTAGTATTTGTTCCCTTAGGAAACTAATAAAAATGATTAGAGAGTAATTATCTGAATTTCACACTTTAAAGAGGAGTACAAATCCTACTCATAACACTATTTATTAATAACCTGGTACATTACATAACTGTATTTACTCTTTTTAAAGAAACACATTCATAGTCCCACTGGCAGAGAGCATATCCACATCTCCTATGAGATTCTAGAAATCAGGGACTGCCTTTCCAGGCTCTTCTAACTTAAAAAGAAAAACCATGCATGGACGTTTGATTATCCATGCTACTGGGGAAGATCACTGAAATTCACAAATAAATACATGTTTCAAATGAACTATTAGCTCACACTTCTTCCCCGTGTAACATTTCCTCTGGTTGATTTGCTCTTCACCATCTCTTCCCAGGACTCCACCTACCCAGTGTTCATGCTAATGAGCAATGAAAAGGCAACATAAATAAACTAACAGACAGACATTGTTTGAAAGCAGGCAGCAAGAGGGAGATGGGGAGAAAAAAAACAAGCTATGGATAAACCACATGCTGAATAACTGCCTGGAGTAAAATGAGCACCTCCAAACACTTAGCTGTTTCAGGAAACAAGACAACCAGTCACTGCATCATTTTCTAAACCAGCATCGGGCAACCTGAAAACCACAGCACCTCTATTTAATTTACTTACTGAGATCACCCAGCCAAAGACCCAGTGCAATTTCTTTTTACCCTGGATGGAATCTGAATACTATCGTGCTTATTGCACTTTCTAATAACGAATCCACAAGCATGCGATTGTTGTCCCAGAAATATTATCCTAAGAGCGACTTCCCATTTGGTGCACCTACAGGCCTGGTTGGTACAGGAACATGAGCATAATACAAATTTGAAACATTCAGATGCTTCTCTAAACGAACTTTAGTCCTTAATGCTTATCCCCCACACACAATACCCACCTTATGGTCATTTGTCTTGTAATCGTTGAAGAAAGGCTGGCTGCCCGCCAACGTATAGGCATTGCCCTCTCTGAACACGCTGATCCTTTGAGCAGTCAGCTTAGGGGAGTAGGATCGGGGCTTGGGGGCTTCCCCAGACCCATAAACACCATCCATGGGTTCCAGGGACTCTTGGAGAAAACTGTGAGGGTATTCCTCCTTTGGCGATTCTAATTCCTGCCCATCTTCGAAGACCTGCTTCAACACTCGGCCACTGTAGGAGGAAGAGATTTTGAATCGTACTTTCCGGGGTTTGCCGTCACTCTTCTGGTTCAGCTTCTTCTCAGGGTCCTCCATCAGCAGGCACGTCCCTCTGTGGTTTCCAGGCCTCAGTGCAGCCAGTGGAACTCGGAGCTCTGAGAAAAAGGCACTTTATTTTCTCTCCTCCTGCACATAATTAATTCAAGTCGCTGCTGGGATATACTCAGTTTACAGCAACTGACACCCACACATTAAATATTGATAGACCCTCATGCAAAGGCAGGCGATTGCGGGTTTATGGAGTGGAGAGAGCATAAGACAAGATTGGGTCCCCTCTGAATCCCAAACTCACCCAGAAATTCACCCCAACCCTGGCTTTTCTTAACCTGAGTAAGTTTATTTAGCCTGAACAAGTACCAGTTCAATACGGATCAATTACTCAATGAGTTAGCAAATGTCTTGTTATTCTTACCAACAGCCATGACCTAATAAGCATTTAATAAGTGCCAGAGATTTTTACATACATTAGCTTACTTCACCCTCACAATAACCCTACAGTGAAAGTACTATTGTTCCTTGTTTACAGAGCGGAAAGTGGGGCTCAGAGCAGTTTCCCCATTTATCTGCTGGATTACAGCTAAGCAAGTAAAGGGCAGGGATTTGAACTCAGTTCTATCTGACTCCAAAACCCATGACCAGCCCACCAAGTCAAATGTCTTCCAATTGTGTCTCAAGGAATCCTAGACAAGAGGGAGCCACAGGTCCTGGACTCTGGGCCTTCTGCCTCTGTGTGAACCAGATAAGTTCCACTTTATGTCTATTTTATGCAGGCAGTTTATTGCACGTCAATTATACTTCAATAAACTTTTCTTTTTTAAAGACAAAATTTTTTTTTCTTTTCAAGCACAGCGCTAGGCACCACTGCCTATTGCAGACAGCACCTGGTAAATGCCCAACACTGTGAGCCCGTCATTGGAATGACTATCAGAGAAGCAGGAAACCTGGGGCTTGAGAATGACAGTCCTACAACCTGGTTTAGGAAACAGACCTAACACATAAATAGCCTCCTGTTTAGGGAGCAAGCAGTCCACCGCTGACTCACAGCATAGCTCTTCTGGGAAGAAAGTGGTCCCTGAGGGGACAAGGATGGAAGAAGAAGGCTTGTAAAGGAAAGGGCCCTTGGGCTGGGTCTAAAAGGATGGGTTGGATTTGAAGAGCTGGAATGGTGGGGGTTACGCTTTCCACCCTGTTTTTGCTAATGACATCAGTTACTGCATTGTCCAAGCTGACTTCTGATGCTCCTGTGGCCATTCCTAGGAATTCTATCACCACTCCTTCTTTCACCCACCCCAGCACCCTAGCCCTAGGTCAAGTCCCCATCGCTTCTGTTTTCAAAGTTGCAGCAGCCTTCTAATGACTGTCCCACCCATCCGCAAGTCCATCCTCCACCCTGATGCCAGAGCGGTTTCCAAAACACAACTCTGCAAATGTCAGTCTCCCGCATAACAAGTCCTAACCCTTCCTTTCAGCGGGCAAGGTTCCTCAAAACCTAACCCTACCTTCCTTCCCAGCCTGGTCCTCTCCACTCTTCCAAGTGCTTCCTGGAATTGGCGTTCCGGGCACACGGACAAGCTCATCTGTTTCTCAAAACCACCAGTTTCTGCCTTTTATCCAGTACTCCGATTCCTCATTGAAATGTCAAACTTCCCCTCCTCCTTGAAGTCACAACCCAAATGTCACCACTTCTGGGAAGCCTTCCTTCCTGCCTCAGGGAGAATGCCATGGAACGCTGGACCTACCACCATCGCGTGCTTGTTTTCTTTACCATTCTTGTGGTTCCCTCTTCCTCCCCCACCCCACTAAGCTGCGAGCTTCATAGAGTCAGAAGCTGCCTTTACCATTTCTCTATCCCCAGTGTTTACCAAAGTGCCTGGTACATAATAGAACTCAGGTAAGAATTGTTGTATGAATGACTTCTAGGTGAGAGAAATCAAATAAATAAAACTTTTGGAAGAGGAGTTATACGTATTTTGTGGACAATAGTGAAGAGGTAGGATCAGAAAGTTGTCAAGAAAAATACCTATATTTCTACTAAATAGGAGGGGTTTCACTATGATAAAGCCCCCGTGTAATCAATACAAGAAATAGGTTAAACACACACACACACACACACACACACACACACACACACAAACAGCATCTCTAAAAAAAACACAAAGGTATGCTCTTCTTAACATCAGAAGATACATTCCGCTAGGTTCCCTAGGAAGCAGGGCCAGCCCTGAAGTACCATGAACGCTTTACAGGAGACTGGATCCTGTATCCCTCAGTGCTTAGGACAACCAAGTGGGCCCCAAGGCTTCCAGGCAGGCAGTCACCTGTGACTACATCAGCCTTATTCGTTTATTCTAGTGTATAGAACAATATCATTATTTGCTATGTATGCCACGCCATGAAAAAGATTGGGAAGCCCTAAAAAAGAGAATATTTTCTTCTATTCATCCCAGAAACCGGTATGAATACGTGACCAATAGTCTATCTTCATCTGGAAGGATCAGTGAGCTGACTTCCATTCACAGCTACCTGCCAAACAGGCATTTTCAATTGCCCAAGAAATGAACACCATTAACAAAGGTAGCCTTTCAGAAGAGTAGACTTCAACCAGAGCCTCTGCACTGATGCATGTGCACAGTCATGCTTCTGCCACCTTGGAAACTGTAACGTTAAAATTAAGTTAGAAATATCGGCACAACTGAATTAAATGGGATCCTGACTATGAAAAAAGAATCATTTAATTATCTGAAGAAAGCAAAAAGTGGAAATGAGTTTTCCAAGTAACATTTGTTCTATAGTTTTTTTAGGCCTTGTCCTATGTTCACAATAGACTCTGAGTGAGCCAGACCAAAATCATGGAAAGTTCTGAAAGAATCATACTTCTGGTTATTTTTTAGATTTCAGTGTTTTCAGAATAGTTCCAGAAGGAGGATATAATTGAATTGAAAGCAATTCTGGTAGCACGATGAAAAGCCTTAAAAATGTTCATTTCTTGAACCTTACAAAGACAGAAAAAACTGCATAAATCAGAAGAAATAATGTCAAAACATTAACATTGATTGCAATGGGTGAAAGTGTTAGGGGCAGAAAGAGAATACTGGGGACTAGCTACAATTATAAGAAATACTAATCATGCTTTGTTAATAACTGTGATGGTTCTGTTCTGATTAGAGAAAGCACATTCTAACCTGGCTGGCAGTTGTACGCCCTGGGACATGGGAGCTAACATCGGAATGCAGTCCAGCCTCTGTCCCGAGAACTGCATATCATTATGGAAAGATTTACAACCTCGTGGCTGAAACAATCTAGTCCCGGAGGCACCCGCCCTTTCCAACCCCCAGCCTCTATTGCAGTGGTTCTCAATCTTCCTAATGCCTCGACCCTTTAATACAGTTCCTCATGTTGTGGTGACCCCCAATTTCATTGTTACAAATTGAACATAATTAAAGCATAGTGATTAATCACAAAAACAATATGTAATTATATATGTGTTTTCCGATGGTCTTAGGCGACCCCTGTGAAAGGGTCATTCGACCCCCAAAGGGGTCGTGAGCGACCCACAGGTTGAGAACTGCTGCTCTATTGTAATCTGGTCCCAGGGTGCCCGGAGGAACCGCTCTCTGTGACCCCTGCCAGCCCACATGACTTGTAACCTGTAATGCTTATCCCGTGCCTGCTTCTCCATGCCCGTAATTTCTACTTTCCCATGTCATCTTTGTCCTTCTACCCAATATAAGCAGCTGGCTTACGGGGAGAGGCAGAGCAGATTTTTGTGGATGACCTGCTGCTCTCCCACGCTGCCGGCATTATTGGAATAAATGCTCGTATATGATTCAGCCCTGTCTGTGCTCAATTGGCTGCAGTAGTGACAGGCAGCTGGACCCCTTGGTTGTCCAGTTACCAAAGGTACTGAATTTTTTCTTTCCCAGTTTCATTCAATTTTTAATTGTCTATGATAAGCTTATCTTACTTTGATAATCAAGGGAAAAATAAATGAAAAAAATCCATCCCTTGCAACCCAATAATTTCTCTTAAGGAGATTTTTCTTTTTCCATTTTAAGAGTTTGTTTGAGCAAAAATTGATTCAGATTGGGCAGCACCAAACCAGAGGTGGTTAGGAGCGCTCTCTCAGCAGAGAAAAAGGGATGCAAAATAAGGAAGTTATTCGTTGGCTATAGTTTAAAGCCTAGTTGGCTGTTTGTGATGGGTTATTCTTAGCATTGTGATTTTGTAACCATGAGGTACCTACAGGCCTAGATTTGAGTTTGCCAAAATCAAAACTTTAAGATTTTGGTAGATCGCCATGGCATTAGAGCCACATCAGTTTAATGGCCTCCTTGTTTAATTAATTTAATAACCCTCCCCCCTTTTTTGGTCATCCTCTCCTACATGAGAGATGGTCCAAAAATTTGGTATTAGTGCCACATTCAGTCACCATCAGAGTGAAGGTGTTCTTGTCTCATTGGGTCAGATCTGTGGAAAAATTGTTCTTGCTGTTCAACTCATTATTTAAGTTATTTCTGTTTCTCCAAGAGCAGTGAGACCACCAGAGCAGTGAGACCACCTGATGTACTGCTCATGGCTGCAAAAAATGCGCTTGAGACCTCTGGGAGACTACAATAACTATTAGGCAGAGAATGCCAAGAGACTTAAGGATACTCCTTAGCCAGGCCCCGCCCCCAGGAACCAAACTAGTTCGTAGCAAATAAATAAAAAAATGTAAAAAGAAAAAATGTACCTGACAGGGCATCAACCCAACTTTTATCTTACTTGAATCCATTTAATTTCATTGTTTTGTTTTGTTTTGTTTGTTTGTTTGTTTGTTTTGTTAATCCTCACCCAATGATATTTTTCCATTGATTTTTAGGGAGAGTGGAAGAGAGAGGGAAAGACAGAGAGAAGCATTGATGTGAGAGAAACACATCAATTAGTTGCCTCCTGCACGAAACTCGACCAGGGCCCAGACCAGGGAGGAAGGAGCCTGCAACCAAGGTATGTGCCCTTGTCCTGAATAGAACCTGGGACCCTTTGGTCCACAGGCCGATGCTCTATCCACTGAGCAAAACCAGGTAGGGCTCCTTGTTCTTAACAATTCTGTTTAGATTACTCATGAAAATTTGTTCAGGCCAGGCCAAGGGACCCCACCCGTGCACGATCGGGGACAGGGAGGGACATGGAAGGTTGGCCAGCTGGGGAGGGACCGCAGGAGGGCTCCAGGGCATGTCCAACCCGTCTTGCTCAGTCCCAATTGGCAGACTCCAGCAGCAAGCTAACCTACTGGTTGAAGCATCTGCCCCCTGTGGTCAGTGCACATCATAGTGACTGGTCAACTGGCCGACTGTCTTCCCCCTGGTGGTCAGTGCATGTCATAGCAAGTGGTTGAGTGGCCTTAGCATATCATTAGCATATTATGCTCTGATTGGTTAAACGGCTGACCAGACAACCGGACACTTAGCATATTAGGCTTTTCTTATATAGGATGATTTATCCTAGATCACATGCACTTGAAAAACAGTTGGGTTAGTTTCCATATTTCTAAGAGTATATTTGATTTACGTACATTGTTTGTTTGTCTTAAAGCCAATTAAATAGAGTTCTCTACAAATTAATTTTGGCAATACCACCTAGAGGTAGAAAATCACACATCTATGACATACGTACATAGACATACATAAACATACACACAGGAGGAGAGATCTTACAGCTTTGTTTTTAAACAGGTGTGATCGTGCAGAACTTATTTATAAAACAACAGTTTTATTCCAATTGTGTTTCTGGTGGATAGAACAAGTTAAGATAGCTAAAGCTTCTAGCAACATTTGTGGAAAAACTTTTAAGATTTTTCACTCACCTAATTTTCAAATAGCTTCTTATTATTGTTTTCTTTTTATGATCAGAATTATAACCCTGAAGTTTGCATTTCAAGAAATGGCTCTGTGTTCCGAGAGAAGACCAGGTAGAACATTTGCATCTCAAAGACAGAGAAAGGATATACAGTAATCTCTCCAAGAAGGCCCCCCCACCACCACCCCGAAATCCGGGTCTACATATTTGCTAGCCTTTGAGATGAACAGAGGAGATTTGGGGATTACTAAAAAGAATAGGTGAGCTCTGGATTCTTTCTAGAGCCAAATTTCTGTTTTTATAAAGACTCGATTTGTAAGCCAAGTGTAATTATTTTTAATTCCTTGAAGAATTGGGTTGCAGCCTGCATGACATCAAGAGGCTGACCCAGATCCAACTACAACTGTCCTCAGTTTGCTTCTTTGTACCAGGGAGATCACCAACTAATGGAAATCCAAAGAGGGTCAAAGATATGGTGCTGGAGGGAGACTAGACTATGGGTGGTGAGCACACAATGCAATATACAGATGATATGTTATAGAACTATACACTTTAAACTTATTCTGTGTTATTAACCAATGTCAGCCTAATAAATTTAATTTTAAAAAATGATTCCTATGATCTAGATTTACAGCTGTGTTTCTTTGGAATATTTTAGTAAAGCCTTCCATAATGGTTTCAGAATGTTTTTCTTTCCCTCTAGGCACACAGTTGTATTTTAGCTTAGGGGAGAAGGTTTTAAAAAGAAGCTCCTATCAGGCTCTGAATATCAGCATCCAATTTGACCAATGTCTGACCATAGAGCTACTTTTAAAAAAAATCTTTTCCATTATCTTGTCAGGTTTCACCGGGACAAACAGTAAACATTCCTCGCAGTATTGAACAACCCCATAGACACAAAAGGCATCTCCAAAGAGGGTGTAAAAGATGCTACCTGCTTAAGACCCAGAGCCACTCCCAAAGATAAGCACAAGGAAGAAGGAAAGACTTGGACAATTCCTCTGAGAGCTGCAATAGTCGGTAGGACCCTAGCCTAAAATGGAGTGCAACCCACATTTCTGTCCAGCTGTATTTGGGGGGCACCCAACCTGACGGCTGCCAGGCAAAGTACTCAGGTCACAAAATGAGATAAACAAGAAGGCAAGAGCTGTCCCTGGGAGAGAGGATCGATAACTAATGTTTTTCCTGCCAATCGGAACTTGGAAAGGAAGGGACATGAGCCTTCCCCTTCCTCTCTCACCCAAGCACCACCGATGGAGATCTGGGCGGGCTGACTTGGGTGAGAATTCTTGACCTTTGCTGGCTTCTGCCAGTTTTCCCAGGAAACCATCTGCGGACTCTGGAGAGAGTGGGGTGGCCCAGCAGGCCTCACACTAGCCACCAAACACTGAGGCCTCACACTGGACCCGTCCAGTTTAAGTTGGAATCAGTCCAACCCGGGACCCAGTTCAGTTTCTAAGTCGGATCCAATCAAACTCTGACGAAAAGAAATGCTCAAATAAAGTCTAAAAGCTCATAACTCAAAAGCGGCAGAGTAGGATCCAGGGTCTAAGGGGCTTACACCCAACCGCCAGTAGCAGCAAGAGAACACTGACTCAGGGGCTCAATGGCACCTACATCTGGTTGCTAATTGCTCCTGGGCTGTTGGGGCCTCCTTCAGTCCCCTCTGCTGACACCAGAACTGTTAAAAGATAGAAGAAGGAATGTTAAAAATTTGAAGAGTTTATTTGACCAAAAAGTGATCAAATCGGGCAGTGCCAAACCAGAAGTGGTTAGGAGCACTCCCAAGAAAAGAAGTTGAAATGGAAAAAAATATTTATATAGATAAATATGTTCTCCAGAACATTATTCATAATAGCAAAAACATTGAAAAAAACTTCAATGTTCAACAGTAGGAAATTTACAATGTAAAATATTCCATAGTCATTTTTTAAAGATTCACAATGAGTTTGAAATAATATGCAAAAATATTTATATACAAATTAAGTGGGGAAAGGTATAACACAATTTTTTGGTCCTGTGATTTAGAATTCAGTATGTAAAATTGTATAGGAGAAAAAGACTCAAATTTAAATACATTAAAATGTTAACAATGATTCTAAGTAGTTGGTGATTTTTATCTTTTCATACTTTTATATATATTTCTAAATGTCTGATAATGAGCTAATATTGATTTTAATATTAGTAAACACAATATTTTTAAAGTAAACTGTACCTAACATTTTAAACTACAGATAAATTTATGCAATTTGCTGGAGAAAATTAAATCTTCAAACTTCTACCATTTTTCCTCTGGCTGAGTTCAAATAATAAGAAATCATACTTTTTATTAAAAACATATTTTTCAGTCCATTTAAATACAGAAAGAAGGGACTTTGACTTAAATCAAATTTAAGGTAAAATCACTTACTCAGGACTGTGCCCAATTGCAGAAAATTTTGATGGGTCATTGAAAGTAGAAATTACTTACACAAGCATGTCAAACTCACAGCCCGAGGGTCGCCTGTAGCCCACAATGAATATTTTTGCGGCCCAGCCAATATAACAGTATGTAAGAAATATTTTAATAAAAATTTCATAATTTTTACAATATCCTGTTATACATAATTATTAATAAAGAACTTCAACATTCGCTAATGACTGATTAAATATAATCGTGTTGCATTCATTTCCCTTACACGCCTTACATGCAGGCGCAACATTTCTCTCCACTAATACTAGCAGCGAATATTTTAGCAGCCAATTGCCATGTCATTAGTCTTGGACTGACTTGTTTGGTGTGCGCAACACGAAATATTTCACTTTCGGAGAACAAGAAAAATAGGTTTATTTGTATCATGCTTATTCATTTGTGTAGTTATTCAGTGTCTGGTAAGTTAATGTTCAAGAAAAAATATTAATTTTTATTAAAATGTTCTATTATTTTATGTAAACAATTACTCATTTATTTCAGCCCATTGTATTCAGCATGTCTCCATCGAAATAAACCTACGTTTCTATGAAAATTGAAGCTTTTGTTTTTTTGCGGCCCACATAAACTTAAACCTTGTTTATTTGGCCCATGTTAGCTTTTGAGTTTGACATGCCTGACTTACATAAACAAAATCACTCAATTTATAAGCTCATTATGGGGCTCATTACTTTTTAAAAATTTTATCTTTATTGTTGAAAGTATTACAGATGTGTCCTCTCCCTCCCCCCACTGATCCCCTTTACCCTGCTCCCATCCCTCCCCAGGCCTTCCCCACACCATTATCTGTCGATGGGCTATATATATATATGCACATATATTCATTGGTTAATTTCTTCTCATCCCCCTTCCCTCTAAGATACGTCAGTCTGTTGCATGCTTCAATGTCTCTAGAGCTTTTTTAAAAAAAGCGCTCATTTCGTGGACATCTAGCCCAGTGATTAGACTTAGTCTCCCTGATGATGGGACAAACTGACATTCTGTGTGATGCTTCATTTACAGATGGGGTGTCCGACCAGGACATTCTTGATGACAAAAGGCACTGTTTACAGTTAAACTGGGACAGGAGGTAAACAGGAATAAATAATAAACTATTGGTGGGGTGTTCTGGCCAAAAATGTTTAATATTTATCTAATTAAGACGTTAGACCTTTTACTTGACAGAAAGCACAGGGAGCTAGAAGAATGAGCTAAATAACCCCAAGAGGAAACAATGAGATGGATGAACAAAGCCACTATGTAGACATCCTACAAGACAACGGGTCTCACCAAAAGTCAATATCCTGGGGGAAAATGTTGAGATGAGAGGAACATTCAAGCTTTAAAGAGATATAAACAGCCGAAACCGGTTTGGCTCAGTGGATAGAGCTTCGGCCTGCGGACTGAAAGGTCCCAGGTTCGATTCCGGTCAAGGGCATGTACCTGGGTTGCGGACACATCCCCAGTGGGAGATGTGCAGGAGGCAGCTGATCGATGTCTCTTTCTCATCGATGTTTCTAACTCTCTATCCCTCTCCCTTCCTCTCTGTAAGAAATCAATAAAATATATTTAAAAAAAAAAGAGATATAAACAAATATAATATATGAACCTTGATTGATTCCTGGGAAAACTGACTCTAGAGTTAGTATCAGATGCAACTAGAGAATTATTGTTAATTTTCTTAGGCAAAATAATGCTATGTGATCATGTGAGAGAATGTCCTTTCTGTAGGAACCACCCACTGAAATATTTAAGGTGAGGTGTCATGATGCCTGCAATTTATTATGAAAAAATTATGGATGCATATATATGAAGTAAAAATAGAAAAATGTTAACAATTCTTGATGGTTGTTTATTATACTATTTTTCCTTTTTAACATTTGAAATGTTTGTAATAAAAATTGGAGGCACATAATGCATTACAAAAATATTCACAGATATCTAGGTTTGCTTCTATACATTTTGACTTACACTCTAGGGCAGTGGTTGGCAAACTGTGGCTCACGAGCCACATGCGGCTCTTTGGCCCCTTGAGTGTGGCTCTTCCACAAAATACCACGTGCGGGCGCGCATGTACAGTGCGATTGAAACTTCGTGGCCCATGCGCAGAAGTCGGTATTTTGTGGAAGAGCCACACTCAAGGGGCCAAAGAACCGCATGTGGCTTGCGAGCCGCAGTTTGCCGACCACTGCCCTACTGTATTCTGAATCTTCTTAGAAGTAAAATTTGTATCCTATCCCTTCTGAGGTCATTTACTGGACTGTCTTTTTATGTGTACTTTGGGATTTGAGAAATTACATTAGATATGTGTCTTGATGAAAGAAATGTGCAATTATTGCAAATTGAGTATGAACATTATCCTTTAGCGATCTTTCCACATCTATCATTTCTAATCAGAGTAAGGCTTATAAATTAAACATATCCTTTTAATCTTCTCATACATTACTGTACAGAGAGAGTGCACATGTATATGAGCGTGTGTGTGTGTGTGTGTGTGTGTGTGTATTTAAACCCCAGTCTGGCATTTCCTTTTGAAATATTGTTATGGCAGAAAAATATTTTAATTATTGATCATTTGTAGAGAGTTGTGAGAGTTCATGGGACTTTATAAAAAAACATGAAAAACAAAATCTAAATTTACCCTTCCTCCCAACTATTCCACCACCAATCAAAATAGAAATTACAAGCCAATGGTTTAAGAGACTGTCATATCCCATGTCACCACCATTTTTCCCCAAAAATTGCTTGAGCTCCTTCAGGAGTGGGTTTTTCATTATGGACTTAGGTGATATCGGAGAGTCTGGTGGCTTGTCCAACTTATATCCCCCCGCCCCCGCCCAGGTCACATGACAATGTGATGACGAGTCAGCCCATTCAAAGTGTGGGATCAAGGAGCTCTGGCTAGAAGGTAGGACATTTTTTCTTGTGCCATCATTTCCCAAAGTATGGCCCACACGGCTAATAGTTATTTCTTGAAAAAATCCTATTAAAATAAGTTTGGGGAATGTTGGGTTACGCTAAGTTAAACTGATTTCTTTGTTGCAAGACTTCCCAGAATGTTAAGTATGCTAATGTACTTTGTCATTCTTGACTTGGGGATACACCATGTCCAAAAAGTAGTAGAGGTGACTTACAAAAAAAACTGTTTTTATTGTTGGAACTCTATTTCATAGGATCAGGGTTCTGAGAAACATAGTCTTGGAGATGCTGTCCTAAGATGCTTGCCTGCTTAAAAGTTCTCCCCACCTCCCACTCCCACCCGCTTCATAGTGAAAAACAGCTGCAGCTATTGAGATTTGCTATATATGAGAAAGGTGTTTTATCGGTAGGAAGACTAGAAACTGATGCTCAGAGAAGTTATCTGCCCAGGGTCCCACAGCCATGAAATGTCAGTCGTTATCCTTGCCCAGTTCTGAGCCCAAAGTTCAGGCTTCTCACCATTAATCATGCTTCACTCACACCATCAATTTGGCCACTTGGGAATAATAGTCGATTCCTTAAAAGTGGGACAGAAAATGCTTTTAATCAGTCTAGCTATAATGTAGATCCCATAACAGACTTCTGAATACGTGAGGCCTCTCCATGGCTGGGTTGTAACTTAGCTACCAGAGAGGCTGGTTCTCTATGCTATGCCTCAGAGGAGACCCCACAGATAGCTTTGAAATTTAACCACCTGCATTATCTGTAAATCACTGGAATGGAGAGATAAGCCATCTTCCTTGTACTTTGAAATGCCTTTTCCTCATTGCCTCCGAGCTGAGCTGGCACAAGTCTTTGTATCACAGGCCAAATCTCCCACGTCAGAATGTAAAGGGAAGGTTCCCAGAGGACCCAGCAGAGGGTGAGGGTAGTGGAAAAACATCAACCGTGCCAGCTACCACAGGCCAAAATCTGGGACTCCATTAAATAATAATCACTTGGGATAATTCTACCATCGCAAAGACCCGGTCCCTGCAGCCCCTGGTGTGCCAGCTAGAGAATAAGAAACTACTTTTTCTAACTCCTCTCTCACTTCTGACAGAAAGAACGAAGAGGCCCCAGAGGCTGTGAAACTTTGGTCCTGAATTTTCTCTCCTCCGGCACTCTCCAATAGGAAAAATCCACATATATATATATTTTAATTTCCAGAAACAACATTAAAAAGGTAAGAAAACCAAGTGAAATTCATTTTAATAACATTTAATCCAATCTAGCCAAACCTTTATCATTTCAACATGTAATCCAACATAACC